CCCCCGACAGGTGGATGGGACCTGCCCCTCGCTGTGGGGCATCAAGACCTGCCCCTCAGGAGATATTTCTGCCCCCCAGTGGGGCTTCTCCAGCCCCCGTGTGTCTCGGGCCTCCCTTCCTGTCGCTCCTCAGCCCGGCAGGGCCAGGCTGGGCTGACACAGCTCAGCGCCCTCCAGAAGCTGCTTTTGAGCTGGAGATCCTGCAGAAAGGGAAATGAAACCTCTTGTGCGAGTCTTGCCCAATCCCTGCTGGGACCTGACTGCTGTTTTTGCGGGGGGGGCAGCTGGTTTGGGGTGAAACAAGCAGCCTCGTGATGAATCCCCTTCCTTCCCCAGCCAGTGCAGGGGTGAGCAGGGTCTCCTGCTCAGTAGCATTAATGAAGAGAGCAGAGCAGATAAGCTCTGCAGCTCATTATGGAGGCATTAAAATAGGTCACTGGTGTTGCCTGGGACGTGAGAGGCCCCTCAGGTGTCAGTCACCATCTCCTCTCTCTCCAGAGCTGCAGAGTGGCAGGGGGGCCCGAGCGGGAGGCTGCGGATCACGGCCAAGGGCAAGGTGGCCTTCATTAAGCTGGAGGACAAGACCTCGGGTGAGGAGGAAGGAAGGCAACAGCTCCCTGTCCTTTCCTGGAGAGAAAGATGGCACAGACACCACATCCTGCTGTTGACCCACTCCCATTCCTCCTTTTTTCAGGAGAACTTTTTGCCCAGGCACCAGTGGAGCAGTTCCCTGGGATTGCTGTGGAGAGTGTGACAGATTCCAGCAGATACTTTGTCATCCGGATTGAAGATGGGAATGGTACCTCTTCAGGAAGGCTCAGAGCCCTCCCTCCTCTTATTTGGGAAGGATTCCTCTCCCAGGGGTTAAATATTCCCAGTCTAGGGTGGTAAAGGGACAAGTTACCTTGCTCATTCATTCTCTGTCCTTCACCAGGAATAAAAAGTTTCATTCAAAGGGTTTATCTCCCTGAAGCACCTGGAGCCAGGCTGGGAGAGTTGGGGTGTTCAGCCTGGAGAAGAGAAGGCTCCAGGGAGACCTTAGAGCAGCTTCCAGTGCCTGAAGGGGCTCCAGGAAAGCTGGGGAGGGACTTGGGACAAGGGCAGGGAATGAGAGGACAAGGGGGAATGGATGACAACTGGAAGAGGGGAGATTGAGGTGAGACATGAGGAGGGAAGTCTTTGGTGTGAGGGTGGTGAGAGCCTGGCCCAGGCTGCCCAGGGAAGCTGTGGCTGCCCCATCCCTGGCAGTGTTGAAGGGCAGGTTGGATGGGGCTTGGAGCAACCTGGGCTGGTGGGAGGTGTCTCTGCCCATGCAGGGGGTTGGGACTGGATGGTCTTTAAGTTCCCTCCCAACCCAAACCCTCCCATGACCTGTGATGGAGCTGCTCAGTGCAGGGTGGTTGCTGTGCTCCCATCCCCTGCTCTGACTCCCAGGAATGTAAAGCCTGGTTTCCCTAAGTCACCCAACAAGCTCCAGATCTCCAGCCCCACATCTTATTCCTGGGAGTCCCAGCTCCTGCTGGAGGAGGTGGCAGGTGAGGGGGCAGGATAACCCCTCCCTCCCCTCCTCCCTCCCAGGCCGTCGGGCTTTCATTGGCGTTGGTTTCGTGGACCGAGGGGACGCGTTTGACTTCAACGTGGCTCTTCAAGACCATTTTAAGTGAGTTTGTGCTTCTTGGCTTGACTTGTTTTTCCAGAAAAGGGTGGGTTTTTTCCAGAAAAGGGTAGGAAGCCCTGAGCCCCCATCCTGCTTGAGCAGGATGTGAAGAGGAGGAACCACCTGTTCCTCTGCAGGACCCTCCTGCAGGCAGCTCTCCCTCTCTCAGGCATTTCCCAGTAAGGCCCCCAACTGCCCTTCCCAGTCCAAAATTGGGCAAAATTCCAAATTCCTTTTCATCTTTCCCGTGTCACTGGTAAGGGTTGCACCTGGAGGGGGGCTGGGATGCTGCTGCAGCTTCTGTTGGGTATCTTTGGGGTGGGATGGAGGATCTGTGCAGGTGAGATCTTGGATAACATCCAGGGCTTTTAAAGATCAGCTGCCAGGCTGAGGGGATGATCTTGGGCAGGATTCCTCTGGGAGAGCCTGGGAATGGGGGTTGATGTCTCTCCTGTTCTGCTCCTGTCACCCCTGCAGGTGGGTGAGGCAGCAGGGTGAGCTGGCCAGGCAGGCTGAGAACCCTGAGCAAGGACTCAAACTGGATCTGGGCTTCAAGGAGGGACAAACCATCAAACTCAACATTGCAGTAAGGAGCTTTTCCAGCTAAATCCACTCCCAGCCTTGTCCTTGGGAAGGGAACAGCAGCTTCTTCCCTGAAATCCCTGTGCCTGGAGCAGGGAGAGACCTTCATGATAAAACCACATGTGATGAGTTGCAGAGGGGTTGTGTGGGTTCCAGGTTACAGATCCAAGTCTGTGGGATTTTCAGGGAGAAAAATACCCTTTTTTGGGGGTGGTTTGACCCTTCTTGCACCTCCAGCCACAGAAGGTCCCTGTGCTGCTGCCTCCTCCCCCGCAGCTGAGGGGAATCACTCTCTGGCTCTGGATTTAAACCCGATACCCACCCAAATTTCCCCTCTCTTCTTTCAGAATATGAAGAAGAAGGAAGGAGCAACAGGGAACACCAGGCCACGTCCCACCAGCCTTGGGGGCCTGACTTTGCTCCCACCACCTCCTGGAGGAAAATCTTCCACTCCAGGTTGTCCCCCAGGAGAGCGACCGGCTTCGCTCCCGGCGCCCACGCGGCTGCCAGGCACCCCCATCACAGGTCAGTGCTCACACAGCCACCACTGCAAAGCTCTTTAGAGTTCCTTTTGTCCCTCCAAGTTGGGAAAATATTGGGAATTAAGGCCTGGAAATAACTCCTGATGTTTGTTTTCTCTCTTCCCGGCTTTCCTGGGTGCTGACAGACTCCCTCCTGGCCTGGCCCCAGCCTCCTGCTGCTCCTCCCTCCACCGACCTCTGGGGAGATTTTGCCCAAGCTCCAGGGTGAGGCAGTGTGGGCAGCGTGGGAGGGACAAATCCCTCTGGGATTTGTAAGCCACGTGTTGGCAGATCCCGGAGTTCAGCGTGGGTGCTGCCCCCGCTGCTCGCGGCAGGGGGAGGAGCTTTTGGGGGGACCCCAGAGGGACCCCTCTTAGGCTGCCCTGCCTGCCCACAGCCCTTTCAGGGTCTAAAAGCTTTTGATTTCCCTTTTTTTTTCTCTCTCCAGGTCAGCTTCTAACCAGCCTCAGACAAACTCAGGCTGGGTTCAGTTCTGAGCCCATGTTGGGATCATCACAATTTCTTCAGGACCAAAGCAGGAGCTTCAGGACACCCTGTTCCTGCCCTTAAATCCCCCCTTCCCAGCATCAAAATGCTTCAATAAGTATCAGAAAGCAACAAACACATGCCTTAAAACACTCCACACCAGCACCTTCCACCTCAGGGGTGTGTTATTTTCCACCTGGATCACAGGAAACCTTGGAGGCTTCTCCTTCCTGCAAAATAAACCCCAACAAAACCCTCAACTTCCTCCCCTTTCCTTAATAACCAGGGGGGGAACTGGTGCTCCCAGCAGGATTCTCCCTCCCAATGTTGCCCCCAGTTCAAGGTCATTTTCACTAAAGGTTTTTTGAGAAAGGTTCCTGGGAGACTTCTCTGCTTTCTCCTGGAATATTTGGGCTGGATAAATCCCTCAGGATCCACCTGGAGACACCACCCCTGCTAAATCCAGACCAGCACCCTGCCAAGATGCCAAACGTCACCTCAGCTTTGGAGCACTTAAATCCAGGAAGTTGGGAGCCAAACCTGCTGTGTTTCCATGCAGAAATTCCTCATTTTTATGCCAAAATTCCTCATTTCTTGCTCTGGGAAGTTTTATTCTTTTCCTTCTCTATTTTGAAGACCCATTTTTACTCCTTTCTGTGGACGTTTTACGGGGCGATACCTGGAATGAAGGACAAAAAAGGAGTCAGGCTCTTTGGCAGAGCTGGGGTTGAGATTCCTCTTGAAGCAAATAAAATATTTTCTTACCTATTTATATCACAGTCTTATCAGCTCCTCAGATTTTTATTTCTTTCCCATCATTTCCCTTTCCAATGGGATGACCAACAATTTGCTTCCAGAGCTTTTAACTCCTCCTGGCACCCAGAATGCAAACCCAGGGGAGAGATTTAATGCATCAAAGTGAATCATAAAACGGTTTTGATGTCAAATATCAAATTTTTTTTTGACCCCTTGGAAAGGCTGGGATGAGCTTTTGTGGTTTTTCTCCTCCTTGCTGCTGTCGAGGAGACTCAGGATGGCAAAGCACAACAGAAGCTGGTTGCTTAGCAATGGTTTGATGGTTGGGAAAGACTCCGGGAGGGGAAGGTGAGGAGAGAAATGAGGGGTAAAAAAGGGAGTTTTATGATGTTTCCAGAGCTTTGAATCAGGAAGGACTGTGGGAGGGGAGGGTAAAGAGAGAAATGGGGGGAGAGAAAAGGGGTTTTATGTTCCCAAAGCTTTGACTTGGGAAGGGCTCTGGGAAGGGAATGGAAGGGAAGGAGAGAATTGAGGGGGAAAAAGGAGGTTTATTGTGTTTCCAAAGCTTTGAGTTGGGAAGGACTCTGGGAGGGGAAGGAGAAATGGGGTGTGAAAAGTAGATTTATTGTGTTTCCAATGGTTTGAGTCAGGAAGGACACTGGGGGGGAGAGGAGGGAATTAATTAGTTTTCTTGCATTCCCAAAGCTTTGACTTGGGAAGGACTCTGAGAGAGGAAGGTAAGGAGAGAAATAAGGGGAATAAATGAGTTTTCCCAAAGCTCCTAGAAGATCCTGGAGGCAGGTCCCACTTTCCTGCTGGCACCCAAAGGGCCATCAATCCTTGATCCCATCCCCTCGCCCCCCTTTCTCTGAATCCCCAGCTCCTGGGGAGGAGAAAGGGAACTTTCCTGGGAAGTTGGGAAGGGAGGAACTGGGAAAACCCCAACACCCTCTCCAAAGGGTGATCTCGGCATCGCATCCAGGATTTGTTTTGGGAGCCTGGATTTGTTTTGGGAGCCGGGATTCCTCCAACCTGCTGCCATGGAGGGGTTTGAGCTCGCGTTGGGATTTTTATCCCCCCTGGGGTGGGGGCAAAAAAGTCCTTCATTACCCAAGGACTCATTTCTCTTGCCCCGGGAGGTTCTGCCCTTGGGGGGCGGGGATGTGGCCGCAGCCCGGGGGGGTTTAGCGCCGCGTTGCCCCCGGAACACGCTCCACCCCGAAGGCTTTTCCTGCCAGGACAAACCGCTGGGCTTTAATGAGCTTAATGAAGGCCGGGAATTAACGAAAGGGCCCTTCACTCTCTCCTGGGAGCTCTATCCTGCCCGGGGGGGGTCCCAGCACAGCCAAGTAAGCGCCTTTCCCCCCGTTTTTGGGGCTCAGGGAAACGCCGGGAATGGATATTTTTAAGAAATAGTTTCATTTTTCTTTAAGAGAATGGGAGCGGAGCCGGGCTGGTCGGTTTGATCTGCAAAGCCCGGCTGGGGGGTTTGGGGGCTGGTGGGTCGGTGGGTGGTGCCACCTCGGGGCGGGAGGGGGTTGGGGACCCCCCCCCAGGATGGGCAGGAAGGGGAGGGTCTCGGGAAAACGAGGATTTCGGGATAATCCGGCGCGCGCGGCCGCTTTTTGCTCCTGGGGACCCATTTCCAGACGGGAGGGGGGGACACGGGGATGTGCGGGGGCTGGAGAGGGAGCTGGGGCGGGTTTGGGTCGGAAACGTGAATCTGGGGCAGTTTAGGGGTTGGAAACGAATCTGGAGCAATTTTGGGGTCGGAAACGTGAATCTGGAGCAGTTTGGGGCTTGGAAATTTGAATTTGGAGCAGTTTTGGGGTTGGAAACAAGAATCTGCAGCACTTTTGTGACGGCAGCTGCAAATCTTGAGGGGGTTTAGGATCCAACCTGGAGTTGTTTTGCAGTTGCAGCTGCAAATCTGCAGCAGTTTTCTGATTGCAAACCTAAACGTGCAGAGGTTTTTGAGATCAGCAGCACAAACCTGGGGCAGTTCTGTGAGTTGAGCTGCAGATCTGTTGGTTGCAAAGACCAATTTGCAGAGGTTTTGGGATTGCAACTGTAAATCTGCAGCACATTTTTGGGATGGCAGCTGCAAATCTGCAGAGTTTTGGTGATTGCAACCAAATCTGCAGAGATTTGGTGGTTGCAGCTGCAGGTCTTGCAGGGGTTTTGTGCTGGTGACAATAAACCTGCAGCAGTTCTGGGATGGCAGGAGCTGCAAAGCTCTTGCAGTCACAGCCACGGTTTTCCCATCAGAGTGGAGTGGGATGAGGGATTTGGAGCTTGGGGGGAAGATGGTTCCCATGGCCTGGGGGAGAGTGAGGGGCTCAGTCCAGCTGGGAGGCAGAGCAGCTCCTGCCTGCAAGGGCAGCTGGGCTCCACACGGGCCCAGATTCCCCATTCCAGGGCCCAGATCCCACCCCAGGGCCTGTCCTGGTGTTGGGTCCCCCATCCTTGGTGCCAGATCCCATCCTGGGGCTGGATGCTGGGAACAAGTCCCCCATCCCAAGGCCATATCACCATCCCAGAGCCAGATCCCAGGTCCAGGGGCTGGATCCCCTGTCACTGTGCTGGGTCCCAGGGCCAGATTCCCCATCCCAGGGCCATATCCCCAGGGCTGGATACCCCATCCTGGTACCAGATCTCAGCCTGGGGCCAGATTCCCCATCCTGAGGCCATATCCCCATCCCAGGACCAGATCCAGTCCCAGGGCCAGTTCCAATCCCAGGGTCATACCCTTCATTCCTGTGCCAGATCCTATCCTGAGATTGTATCCTCATCCTGGGACTGGATCCCCCATTCTGAGGCTGTATCCCTGTCCTGGGGCTTGATTCCCCATCCCAGGGGCATATCCCCATCCCAGGGCTGGATCCCCCATCCTGGTACCAGATCCCATCCCAAGACCATATCCCCACCCTGGGGCTGGATCCCCATATCCCCCTCCCTCCCACCATCCTCCCCCCTTCTCTCTCCGGCTGTTCCCTGATCCTGGTCCCCATCCCGCAGGACGGGTGGGGGGGGCCATGTCCTCGCTGCTGTCCCTGCAGGAGGAGAACCGTGTCCTGCAGCAGGAGCTGTCCCGGGTGGAGGATCTGCTGGCCCAGAGCCGGGCCGAGCGCGATGAGTTGGCCATCAAGTACAACACCATCAGCCAGCGGGTGGGTCAGCCCAAAAATGCCCTTTCTCACCCCAAAATCAGGGTGCTTCCAACCATTCACCATTTTAGTAGGGCAAGGGAGGTTCTCCTGCCCCTCTGTTCTGCCCTGGTGAGGCCACATCTGGAATGTTGTGCCCAGTTCTGGGCCCCTCAGTTCCAGAAGGACAGGGAACTGCTGGGAAGAGCCCAGGGCAGAGGCACAGAGATGCTGGAGGGAGGGGAACATCTCCCTGCTGAGGAAAGGCTGAGGGAGCTGGGTCTGTTGGGCTTGGAGAAGAGGAGACTGAGGGGCCACCTCATCCATGGGCACAAATCTGTTCAGGGCAGTGTCAGGAGGACAGAGCCAGGCTTTGTGCAGTGATGTCCAGTGACAGGACAAGGGGCAGTAGTGGGTGCAAACTGGAGCCCAGGAGGTTCCCTGTGAATCTCAGGAAGAACTTCTTTGCTGTGAGAGTGACAGAGCCCTGGGCCAGGCTGCCCAGAGAGGCTGTGGAGTCTCCTTCTCTGGAGACATTCCAACCCCCCTGGCCACGTTCCTGTGTGATGTGCTCTGGGTGCCCCTGCTCTGGCAGGGGGGCTGGGCTGGGGGAGCTTTCCAGGTCCCTTCCAACCCCTGGGATTCTGGGAGTAGCATTTCCATTCCCACCCTCCCTTCCACAGCAGCAACATCCCAGTGGTGGAAAATTCAAGGCTGTGTCCAGACCAGTCCTGGCTTGTTGGGGCTTGTCCCATGGGATGTACAAAGAACCTTCAAACCCCCCCATCCTGATTTTATTTATCTCATTGTTTTTTGGAAAGTGGGATCCCCCCTCAGCAACATTCCTGGGCTTTGCATCCCTTTGCTGGGGCAACGGGGTTTATTTTGGGTTATTTTGAAATATTTTGGGTTAATTTCAAAATTTTTTGGGTTATTTTGACTTTTTTTTAATTTTAAAAACTATTGTCTCATTTGTTTTGAGATATTTTGGATTATTTTGAAATAATTTTTGTTTATTTCAGAGTATTTTGGTTTATTTTGAAATATTTGTGGGTTATTTTGAAATATTTTGGGGTTATGAATTTTTAAATTTGTTTTGAAATAATTTT